CACACAGGGCTGCTCTTTCTGGGTTACTGGCAAAAAATTTTAGAAATCAGCAATAACAGCGCTGCGTGTTTTCATGTGAGGGTAAAGAACTGCGTGGATGGTGCATTAACAGAGCAAATCTGTGCAAGGTCTGTGTCCAGAGCCCACATCCCTGTCACTGCCAGACTGTAACAGCAATTTGAAAGCCCCTCACCTAGGGGAAATGAACAAAGCTGAGCTGAAACTGTGTTAATTGATAGCAGAGCTTGGGCTGGGGCCAAGCTCAGCATCTTGGGGAGTACTTGCCCAAAACACAGCTCTGGCCCATCCTTCCCAAACACTTATTAGCAGCACAGCAATGTCCTTCTGGTGCTGCTAATGCTTCTTTAAGCCTAGAACAATAACAGAGCTGCTGGGATTTTGTTCTCCTAATGATTTTCAGCGTTTTGCTGTGAGGTGCAGAGTCCCTGCTGCACAAGGGAGCCACGATGAGTCAGGCCTTGGGACATGTTTTGTAAGACTGAGTCTGGACTTGGAGGCTGTTTGGCTTAAGCCTCCACGTTCTGGTTTTTCTCTTTAATAGAATTATCTGTGCCTTGGGCATTGAAAAAGTACACATTGATGTGGCTATTAAAAAAATCAATTCCAAATTGTAGATAATTGTTTAAGCTATCAGACTTGAGGCTCATGGAGAAGAGTTTTCCCGGGACAAGTGTGTTTTCTATTAGAGTCGATATCAATCTGTCAGAAGAGCCTTTTGATTTTCAACATTTTAGACTAAATAGTTGAGTAATACTTTTGCTCTGCTCTCCCCAACTCTTTCTTCCTTTCCCTTAAGAAAACTCCCTCTTTATTGTTAGCAAGACTTCTTGGGGAGCAGCCAGAAAGTCGCCGTCTCTTTCTGTGAGGGAACAGACCCAGCCAGCTTTGGGCAGGAGGTTGTGGCAGGGAGAGCTTGGCTTGGGGATGCCCTGGAGTTGGGTGCTGAATTCCCAGGTTGGAAGTGTTGGTGGGAGGGCTCAGACCCTTTACCAGCCATTGGGGTGGGCTACAAGCCTGGATTTTGTGTCATAAGAAAAGATCCTACTGATAATGTGTGGGACCTGCATTTGAACTGGCACCTTGCTGTGGCTCTTTCCTCACCCTCACAGATCCCCTGGCCCAAACTCCAGCAAGGGGCCAGCAGTTGGTGTTGAACTTGCAGCATCCCTGAGGCTGCAGCTGCTTGTTGTGTATCTGATAACGTGCAAGTCAGATATTTTGCTCCACTAAACTGATGTTTTGTTGTTCCATGACTCACAGCTTTTCCTTTGCTGCCCCCCATTTCAATCTTTAGCTTTTTCTCATTATGTTCTGGCCAGGACAACAAGGTCACAGATCCTTGTCCCTCTCCTCTGCTATGTGGCCTCAGCTCCTCTGCCTGACCAGGGCTGAAATGAAAGAATTTTGAGTTTTATGTGGTCTCATCTTTGTCAAATTCCAGTGAATGTGGTTACATGATGCCATCAGAATGACTCATTCCCATAATTACATATGTTCTGAGGGGTTATTCCCATTGTATTATTAAAAACTAGTGATGTTGGATTTTTGGCAGGGCTCGTCTTCCTTGTATGATCTACAGATTTTGTCAATTAACTGAAGGAAAAGTAGATTTCCAAGAGTTCAGAACAAGACCAGACTTGCTCTCAGAGCCCTTTTTCAGTGTGGTATTGAGCTCCTCTGTTTCATTAGCAGGATAAAGCAGCCTCAGCCATCTCCCTTACAGCAGCAATTCCTTGCAGAGCACAAGTGGATTTTGTAGCTCATCTTCAAAAATCACAGCGGAAGATCTTGTAGGCAGTTTATCAGCACAGCAACTCTCCCAGCTCAGTTCCTCAGGCTTGGCTTCCCCAGAATACAGGAACAGGAGGGCTCCTGGGCAAAAGGTTCCAGGTGGGACAGCAAAGACAAAGTGATCCTGGATTGTTGCCTTGAATATGGAATTCCCAAAATGGTGATTGAAGGAGGAGAAACTGAAGTCAAGAAAAAGGCAGAGAGGTGTAAGAGAGCTTTGAAAGCCAGGAAAAGTAACTTCTGGGCTCCTCTGTGGCCCTGTCAGTGCTCTAAACCAGCATTTCACCTCAGGCTGGAAATTACAATATACCACCTACCTGGCTACCTCTCTCTTCCTGTTCTTCAAAAATCCTGGAAATTCCAGCAAGCAGCTCCAGCCAAACTTTGGTTTGGCATTCAGTTGGGTGTGATGTATTACTGAGTACATAAATGCCATCAGGGTGATTTATTGATGGTGGCTAATTAAATACTCTGGTATTTCTGTACTTTTAATATAGATTTTTAAAATGTGATGCCTATCATGTCTGTCTGTGAAGTCTATTGACTTCATAAAATTTGTAAATATATATCTGAATTATCCCTTTTAGTGTTCTCAGACAACGTAATTGAAACCATAGTTTTAGAGATAACCTTTTTCTCACTATCCTACTTTCTTTCCTTTAATCAAAGCTAAAATTTCTCCTGAGTGAGAAATCATTTAAACATAAACATGGGCTAAGGAGTATATATACATTACCTCCACCTCTCTGGGGGTGGAGAGTCAGTGAATTACTGTGTGAGGAGTGTGTGTGCACACAGTTCATTGACTGTAGATGATGAAAAATACAGATTTATATTACCCAGAGAGGGTTAAGAATGTGATAGAACCAACATGTGTTTGGTGACATTCATCTTCTTTAGGTTCCAAATCTCAGCAAATAAGAGAGAAATGAAACAGTTCCAAACCCACAACAGCAAGCTGCCCATTATTGTTCCCCCCATGGCATGGGATGCATTGCTCAAAATCTGAGGAAACAGACTGGAAACCATCCTGCAGATTCTGAGTTAATGGAATTCTGTCCAGCAAATAACACCAGGGAAAATGAAGCTGTTCCCTGTGCAGTGGAGCTCCTGACAAACCATGTCTGTCTGTCTGTCTGTCTGTGCATCCAGCAGCTGCTTCTCCAGTCCAGCACCAAGCTGACCAAAGCAGAGGGTGGGAATAGGTGCAGGAACTGGAGCAGTGACATTCCCAGCCATGATCCATGATCCATGTGGTCCTTTGGCTCTCAGGAGTGGCTCCTGTATCTGTGGATATTTTTGAATCAGTTGGGTTTGACTCCAGTTTTGGTGAATAAACAAATGAAGCTGGTTCAGCAAACCCATTTATTGATTTATTTGTTTAAAGACATGTATTTTACAGTGATGCCAAGGAGACAACACCACAACAGGGTCATTTAGTGCATGGAAAGAGAGCATTCACATGTGTGTGAGTTGAGGTGACATCACCCAGCTAAGGACATCTCAGCTTGGACTGGGGAGCTCAGTGTGCAGTTCATGTTGGTCAAAGGCAAAATGTTCCTAAATTCATAACTGAACCAGCTCTCTGGGAGTGGGAATAAGCACAATTCTTGAGCTGACTCAAAAAAAAAAAAAAAGAAGAAAATAAATTGGATTTATTTTTTTATATTTTTTCTCCTAATTGTTCTAAAACAATTTAATTTTAAAATCACCCCTACGGAAAAATCTTGGATATTCGTAATATGCATCTTAAACTTCCTGTTGCCTTTGTCCCTTTTTCTTCCCATTTTGCTCTGAAAAAAGGAAGAAAGTAGGGGAAAGGCTACAACAGAAAGAAGTTTGTCAGATTTTCTAATAATCCCTAGAGTTCTCTAAAATAGGTTCTGTTGATTTATTACATGCAGTTTAGTTTTGAAATAGTTGTGCTAATAGTGCCAGGAGTTACTGTAGGGAATCAAGTCATTACCAGAGCCTCATGTAGGAAACTTTCCTAATGCATTTTCTTTTCCTTAATCCTCACTGAGAGCTCGCTGGGGACGTGGCTCCAGGAGGGAGCTGAGCTTCACCAGTGGGTGCTGCTAAAACTGGAAGGGAAAATGGTTCTGCTGACAAGCAAAAATACTTCTCTCACAGGCTAGAAAATAGAGCAAGGTTGGATCATTGAGCTGGGAAGCTTTCAGAAATCATATGAACATGATCCATAAACAACTTAAAGGATGACTTTTAAGAACCTCTTTCTCCCCCCTGCTTGGTATGCTGGTCGTTTATCATTGTGCTGAAATGGAATCCCCTTTCAAAGATGGAACAGCTTCTTGTTTACTTAAACACAAAGTGGACGAGAGGCTGAAAGGTTTTTCTGCCAGCAGAGCAGTCAGGGAGAGCTTGGTACAGCTCTGGAGCCCAAACAATGTGCAGCCTCCACGTCCTGCCCCGAGCCAAGGCAGCCCTGGGGTGAAGGGAGTTGGGGTGTCCTGGCTAGAGCTGAGTGCTCAGTGGGCACCAGGAGAGAACCAGGGCTGGTGACCCTCAGAGGGACAGGAGCTCTCTCCTGCACACCTGTTGACTCCAAGCCACAGAGCAGAGATGGGATGGAAGCAGTACAGCTTCCATCAGGGCTACAGATTTACCAGGGTTAGTCTGGGTGAGTTTCCCCTGCCCCTCTGGTGCTATGGAAGCAGTACAGCCAAGATTGGATTCACCAGGGTTAGTCTGGGTGAGTTTCCCCTGCTCCTTGCCCTACCAGGGGAGTGGAGCTCCCAACAGCACATCCCCGATCCACCCTGTGAGCACATCCCTTGGGAGGAGAGAGCTTCTGCTGAACTCTAGAGAAATGAAATGTGTCTCTACGTATTTATACAGAGAAATCACATTTTAAAACCCCAGGGCAGTGATGGGGAGCCCCCCTGTGACCCTGCCCTGAGCAGAGCAAGCAGCAAAGCCACGCAGGGCTCACCAGTGCTTGTCCCAGTTCCTCTGCTCAGCTGGCAGCTCTGGCAGAGCAGGAGAATCCAGGGAATTCCAGCACACAGGTAGTTTCTACCCAATTCAAAAATTTGTTTTTCTCTCCTGCAGGACCTGAGCTGTGCCTTCCCCTCCCTCGTGCCACACACTGGAGTGGTGGCACCAGCTGTCCCCAGCCCTGGATTGTCCCACAGCTGGGACTGGCCAAGCAGAGTCCCAGTGTGCTTTTCTACACAATGTGCCTTTCTGCACATAGGACTTCCATTGATTTCTACAGGAATTGTGTGAGTATGAAACAAGTGCAGAATGTGTAATGGAAAGCTGCACTGCAGATAAAAAGGAGGTAAAAAAATGCACATGTATGGATCCACTGCCCATGGCTGCTGGAGCAGACCCCAGTCACAGTCTGTATGCATTAAAAAAATGTTTCAGCAACCTGTGGTTTGTTGGAACCTCTCATTTTCTCAATCTGCTGTGTGTTAAGTGGATCCTTCAGTGGGGAGCTCCTCGGGGCTCAGGTCCCTCTTGCAAGACGGCTGATTTGTGCTGGCAGCATTTCCTGGGATTTTCTTAAAGCTTTGGTGAGTTTCCCTTCCACAAGTGAGTCTCTGTCCTGTGGGACACCAGCCTCCATAGGGGCCAAGGTATGAACCACACACTCAGGAAGCTGGTTGTCATTTGGATTTTGGGTTTTGTTTTTTTTAATTTGAAATAATTCTTTAAAGCAGATTCAGGGCAGATGCCACTGACCTCTTACCACAAACACATATTTGCAATGATAAAGTCATACAGCTTAAAACACAAAATAAGGGGTGAGGGAAGAGAAAGAGGCCCCTGTTGTGTGTGTCTGGGGGGTTCAGTCTCATCCCCTGGCTGAGTAGGGCTGTGTGCCTGGGCTCCATTTGAGGCCTTGATTATGAAATCAATCCCATGTCTGGGTCCTTCAGTGGCTCATGCTCCACCTCTCCTCCCTGCAGTGTCCCCACAGAGCCCTGGGGATGCTGTGGCTTTGCTCCCACTCCTCAGCAGCGTTCTCCCACAGCCCTGGGCAGGGTGTGTGTGTGTGCAGCCTCCTTCAGGGTGTGTGTGTGGCCTCTGTCAGTCCATGGGTCAGTCTGGAGTATATGTCTGTCTCTGGACACGTTACATGATGTAGCAGTGCTCTGTTCAATAAAGCTTTCATATACATAGCAGCAATGGAGTCTTGCCATCCATGACACGCTGCCAGCTACTGGGCAGGGCTGGCGGGCGTTGAGGGCACCGTGGCCCCTCTCTGTTTGTTCTTCCTCTTCTTGGTGCCAGACTTTGTGTCTTTGGTGTCTTTCCTATTTCTGTTCCCATTATCTTGCTTTCCTTGCTCTTCCTTTTTCTTCCTTTTCCCTGCAGTAAAGCAAAGGGGTAGTGTGAGGTGGAGTGAGGGGAACAGACCAGCCCTGTCCCCCTGGTTAATTCCTGTGCATTTAATCACTGCTCAGAGCCCTTTCCCCTCAGAACACTCAGCGCAGCTGCAATCCTGGTCCATTCTGTAACAAAACAACCAAACCACCATTCATCCTGAAGACTCTAATTCCTGGGAAAAACAGATCAATTCTGGTAGAGAAGACAACTCCTACCATGGCAGCACAGAGGCATGCACCAAAGCATTCCCTTCCCAGGCTGCTCTCTGGCCAGGGAAGAAACTAAAATGGGGGTTTTTTTTGGCATGGGTTGGACTCAATGATCTTGAAGGTGTCTTCCATCCTTGCCATTCTGTCAATTCTCTAAAATAGGTGAAACCTGTGGCACACAACAAGCTGTGCCAAGCTGGGAGCTGAGCCCCCTCCACCTGCAGCTCTCCCAGGTGCCATCCCATCCCTATCCCTACACTTCAGAGGAATCAGGAGCTGCCCAGCACATTGTGACACTGTTCAATTGGCTGACTGCCTGTCCCTGAGCTCCCTGGGCTGTGGGCAGGGATGGGAGCCCCCCAGCTCTGCTCACCTTCGGGGCACTGGCTCTTCTGCACCGTGCAGCGCCGCACCTCCGTGGTGGCCGGGCACAGGGACACGTCCCCAGAGGGCGCCTGCAAGATCCGCCGTGTCCGGTCCTCGTTGCCCTTCTTGAAGCCACAGAGCTTCCTCTTCTTGGAGCAGGGGCCCCACGGACCCCACTCACTCATTTCACATTGTGCTGCAGAGAACAAGAGAGCCCAGCTGTAACTCCTGCTCCAGGCCATCCCGGAGCCCACCTCTCCCCCATCTTAGGCTGCAAGGGAGTCTGTGTTTCCCCAGCAGGTTCCTAAATCCCTGAGCACCCCTTCGAGTCTATGCTTCCCAAGTCTCTGAGCACCCCTTTGAGTCTGTGCTTCCCCAGCAGGTTTCTAAATCCCTGAGCACTGCTTCGAGTCTGTGCTTCCCAGCAGGTTCCTAAATCCCTGAGCACTCCTTCAAGTCTGTGCTTCCTAAGTCCCTGAGCACCCCTTTGAGGCTGTGCTTCCCAAGTCTCTGAGTACCCCTTTGAGTCTGTGCTTCCCCAGCAGGTTTCTAAATCCCTGAGCACCCCTTTGAGTCTGTGTTTCCCCAGCAGGTTCCTAAATCCCCTGAGCACCCCCGGTTGCTTACCAGGACTGCTGCACTCCATGGTGCCGTTGGCAGCAGCGTAGCCTTCGGGGCACGTCACGTAACATCTCCCTTTGTGCAAATACAAACCTTCCTTACATTTTGTGCAAAAGTTTCGACTGAAACACGACTCACAGTTCTCAATTTTGCATTCTGGGGGGAAGAAAAAAAGCAAAAAGAAAAAATCACCAAAGCCATCATGTAGTTTGATGTGAGCAGAAGGGTCAAGAAGCTCCACACTGCCAAGCCAGGTCTCTGAGCATCCTGTGCCACTCAGGAGTGAGTTTTCTTTGCCCCATTCCCTGTGCAGGACAGCCCTGTGCAGCAGCTCTCATAGCCAGGCCAGGATCAGGCAGGGTGGGAAGGTTTTGGGCTGGGGTTCAGCTGAGCATGGTCAGCCAAAGGGGATGGTGCAAAGCATCCAGCCCTGGCTCCAGCTGCAGCTGCAGGACAGGCTGCATGGAAAGGGAGCTGCATGGAAAGCTGGCTGTGAGGGTGCTGTGCATGGACCTGCCAGGGCAGTGAGCCCATGTCTCGTGTCCAGCTCTTTCTGATGCTCTGGCTACAGAATTCAAGTCAGGGATTTCACTCAGAGCTGTCTCAGTCTGTTGAGCAGTAGGGCAGGAAAAGAGGCACCAAGTGCCTGAAAGGATCTCCCTCCTCACAAAGGCTGCCAGTCTGGCAACCCACGTAACAAAACTGCCCAGAGGTCCTGCAAGATCCCACATCCACAGCGTGTGCAGAGCTGAGCAGGGCTGTTCTCAGGCTGTCATGATCAGCCCTGCCTCACCCCTTCCCCAGAGCCATAGTGTTGTGCTGTGATTTCAGGGTTTACCCCAGAACCTCGGGTCCCTCCCCTGATCATTCCCTCCCAGGTGTGTCAGTCCCCTCTCCTTTCCCCTCCCAGGTGTGTCAGTCACCTCTCCTTTCCCCTCCCAGCACTGTCCGTCACTCCTGCAATTCCAGAAGGCATCGAGTGACTGGCAGATTCACAGGATGCCCTCTACCCCTGGGGGCATTGGGCCATCCAGGTGTCCTTTGTCCCTTTGTCCCTCCCCTCCTGTCCCTGCTTGGTGGCTCCCTGCCCCTTCCCTGCCCCTCTCCCCGGGGTTCAAAGGAGCAGCAACCACGGGCTCAGGGAGTTTTGTTGGAGCTGCTGCT